TGGGGGGAGGTGGGCGGGGGGGGGGGGGTGTTGAGGCAGTGCAGGGCTGCTGTGGCGTGGCACGGTCGGTGTGGCCTGTTGAGAGCTGGGGGTCGGTGCAAGTTGGCGGACGGGTGTGGGCCGTGTGGCGGGGCGTGCTGGACCTGCTAGTGGCCTAAGGCCTTGGACCCTGTTGGGTGTGCGGCCTGCGGTTGGGGCCGGAGCCGGGGAACCAAGGGTCCAGGGTGGGTGGCGGAAGTTCGCAAAACACCTACTTTTTTCTTTTTGCATGCCGAGTGCAAGGCCTACGGTTGGGGGCAGGAGCCAGGGGACTGTGGCCCGGAGGCCGACGGCTCGCGGAGGGGTGTGTGAGAGACTGACAGTGTCGGGTTGTCAACACTATCAGGGCGAGGGCGCTCTAGACGGGGGGGGCGGGGGGGGGGGAAAGGGTTTCAGGCATTGCAGCATTTGCAGGGCTGCTGACATGTTGTGGGCCTGTGGCTTTGCACGTTACATCCAAGGCTATGCACGTTGTTCCTTTCTCTTTATTTCAAAAATTTGATTAAGGTTAAGTTTTCTTATGAAACTTATCCACCGTACAGTCCCTAGACTCCCTACTCTTGTTAGCCAAGGGCCGAAGGCCCAATGGTAAGCAGCAGTGTGGCGTACTGACAGTTGTTGTTACAAATTTTAATGTTCATATTACAGAGTCACAAAGTGTTATAGACAAGCATTTGCTAAAGTTTGTGCATCACGACTCAGGAGTCAATTGGGGTTTTATAATGCATGGTTACTTAAACTGCGTTTAACTTACACAAAGATGTAATGCCGCTGCTAATGCAAAATATAGAGAATGAAAGCAAAAAAAAATAAAAATAAAAAAAAATCAGAACATCAATAATTATAGATCAATAATCACCATTATTTGCACACCATTATTAGTCATACAGATTCTTACTGCAGTAATTACTAATTACTACACTTAATTGTAGTTTGTACAGTAAATACTTGTAATTTACAGACAAACAGTATCAAGAATCAATAGGTTCTTCATTCTCACTAGCATCAAACATGTGCATGAGTCATTCCATTGCAGTTTCCTCATCAATAGGTTCCCTGCTGACAGCTGCTATCACTTGCTACTGTTACTAACATTAAACAAAGTCGACGACAATTCATGCTGTGATTTGAACAAGAACAAATCTACTCAATAGTCGGCAATGAAACTGCATACAATGGAAATCCAAATGAGATAAGATGGAACAATGCGAGCGACAATGCACAAAGTTGCAAACACCGTTATCCATGAAGTATCCTACAACATAGAGAGTGCTACCCGAACATAGAGAGTACAGGCAGTGAGCATATAAACCTAAGACACAACAAAAATATAGTGCCTACAAGGCTACAATGATACTCCTCTAAGGCTGCAACCCGAACATAAAGGGTACACTGAGCGAGCGTATGAACCTCAAACACAACAAAAATATAACGGTCCCAACTCCATGCCGAAGGCTCGATGGTGACGACACTTACGAGTCTGACGACGCCCGTGTAGGAGACTACTTTCTATCTCAAACACAACTAAAATACAATGGGTCTGACAAAAATAGATACGCCCAGATAGAAAACTATTATCTCTCTCTCTCACTCTCTCTCTCACTCCCAAGCCCACCCTCCTCCCCACCTCCACCATCAGATCCATCAGCTACCCCCCCCCTATCACTCCCCCTATGTCTCTGACTGTCTGCCTCTCTCTCTGATCGTCAGTCCCATCACGACGCGGGAATGCAGGGGCCCATTTCTGAAGTCACCTAGCCTCTCGTGCCAGTAGGACTGTACGAGCCTGTTCGCCCCTGTCAACCCAGGGTCGGGGGATGAATGGTCTCAGAGTCGAAGGAGTCAAATATCCCTGTGCATCGAGTGCTGCCCTGCGTCTGAGTCGACATCCTCCAGGATTAGATCCATCCGCCATGCGTGCTGGTCGAGATCCATCCGCCATGCGTGCAGGTCGAGATCCATACTCCACGCATGCAGGTCGAGATCTATACTCCATGCGTGCAGATCGAGATCCATCCGGTCTATAATCGGAGTCACCTTGGTCGTCAGCCCCCCGTCGACCCACCGGTCGGGATGTCAGAACTGTCATCGTGTACAATGATGAGAGCACCTCGTCTCTTTTCTCCACGACCAGCCTCCTCGACGAGGCTGCACCGCTCGTCCCCTGCGCTGCCGGAGTCGTCATGCACACGTGACAATCTGCGTGAACGGTCTCCATCACCTGCCTGTCCATCCTCCGGTACACCACCATGTGCAGCAACCTCCTCGTCCTGAGTGTGTGCGGTGCCACGACGACTCGAATGCTGTGAAGACCTCTCGTGTCCGCCCTTACTCCTTGCACGCGACATACTAGCCTTCACCACCCTGGTGAAGGCAACATCTGATGTCTTCGTGGCCAGCCGTCTGCCATGCTGGTCCTCATACTCACGCATCGCACCATGGTGACGACCGCCTACAGTGCTGATGGAACGTGTTCCAAAGGGCACATCTGTCATGTCGCATGCACTCCTCCGTGCCGCGGTTCCGCCATCGACTGGTGCTGCTCTCCCCTGGTCGTAAAAAGACGATGCTGCTAACCCTGGCACAGTTGGGCCAGACCCCCCCCGCATGAGCTCCTCCCTGCTGCTCCTCCCTACCGCCCCTCCCGACCGCATGTGGTGCAGAACCCATCCGTGTGGCAAGTCTGTCACCAGTGCTTCCGGCAACCGACGAAGCTGGTGTAATGTCCTTTGCAGGCTCCGTGTAGCCCGCGCTGGTCGGAGGTACCCCTAATCGACCCTCTCCACCCCTGATCGTCGACGGTGCTCCCACACAAGGATCCCCTCCAAGTCCACCCAATGGCGCACCCTCTCGCACGCCGCTGTAAGAGACGCTCCGTCCAAAGAGTCGGCGAGGCTACGATGTGCAGAGCTACGCCCATCCCTCGTATGTGGCAGACCTTCATGGCGTGTCGTGGTATCGGCCAAGCCTAGAGCGACCTCGTGGGGTTTCCCCACCCGAAATACGGATGGGGTTGCAGAGGCCATGGCAGAGAATATCTTATCTCCACCGAATTCGTCAAACCCTCTGTCTCTTGCATCGCGGGCGGGCCCACCCTTGAGGCCAGGGGGCGACACGAGCGGCAACGATGGTGGAATAATCGTGTCTGCACCAAACATGCTGTCGGCGAGCGTGCCCACGCCCACCATGTCGCCTATGCGAGGAAGACTACCGTCGGGGCACGCGAGGCCGACATCTTCGTCTCCTGTGGCCCGGGTGCTCCCAGCATCGGGGCAAGGGGGCCGCACGTCCGGCAATAACGATGAAATGAGGGTGCGGATGTCGGGGAGTCCGTCGAGTGCAGAACCTATGGAGAGCAGGTCAGCAGTTCGGGGAAGACTGCCTATGGGATGAGAGAGGCGAACTTCCCTGTCTCCTAGGCCTCCCGCCGCTGGAGTGATCTCGCCATCCTCCATGGTAGATACTCCTGCGACATTTGTGCCTGTTAATCCACTCGCCTCTTCGGCGTGCTGATCTACGTCCATCATCGGCGCAGGGGAACATCCTAAGTCCCTCTCCTCTATCACCTCCATGCACACGTCAGTCGCGTCCATACCACCACCGAGCACTGGGATGCGTGGAAGTGGATGTGCGTCCTGCTCTGTGCCATGAACTGGACGTGCGTCCTCCTGTGCCCCATCGGCAACCGGACGTGTCTCCTGCGCCGAGCCGGCAGGTGCCGGGTGCTGCTCATCGACGGGCCCATCACTCATGGAGTCCTCGAAAACAGGGACAAGCTCAGACTCATCGGCTCGTGGACGAACGGTGGGGGTGAGGGTCCCGTGGGGCTGCCTCACACGATCGGCAATCGACTGCGTCCTCTTCGGCCCGTGCTGCAATCGTAGGAGGTGAGGTCTCGAGCCATGCGGGGAACTGGCCTGTCCATCCCTGCTGCCTCCGCCGTCGACAACGTCCACCCCCGCATGCTGCTCGACGTCCATAGCCACGTCCGCACATGTATGCTCCAGCGCTGCTCCGGTATCCTCGTCCTGTGGGCCGCCTGAGCCGCCTCCACCGTCGACAACGTCTAATCCTCTGCCATCACTTCCTGCATCTCGTGGTGCAACAACACCTCTCCCACCAGTGTCACCACCCCATCTCAACGATCGACGGTTTCGGCTGTCGCCCACTCCATCATCACTGTCGTCATCGTCGGGACGGTCGTCGCCCGGCCTGCCGTCGTCATCTCCACCTCGCGGCATGGTGGTACAAAAGAAATCCTCGTCATCGCTATCGGAGCTATGATACAAAAACTCTCCCTCGTCCCAATGCTGTCGAGGGAAACGAATAAGGTCGACCTCCACCCCATCACGCAGCCCAGGCTGCGAACTACGAGGACATATCCCGCCTGCTGATCCACGTCCGCGTCCCCCACGCCCACCTCATCCACGACCACAACGCCCCCCATGCCCACCACGCCAGCCACGACCCCGAACGCGTCCACGTCGTCTCTTGTCCGATTGGACAAGGCGGCGCTCGGTGCCCATGCGAGAAACACTGCGCAGCCGCCCCCTCGCCACACGCATCTCCTCCTGTGTGGCTGCCAATCTCGCTCCGCTCCCCGCAACAAGTTGTTGGTCAGTGGGCAACTCGTCCTCTAAATGCTACCAATAGTGTACCCACTTCCCAAATTGATTGGGTTTGTCATGAGGAGCGTCCTTGGTCAAAGATAGCTAGACGAGAAGACGGAGGTTGCAATGGCACATCACGAGCTTCTCAGCCCGTCCAACCTCCGAGTCCAACATGTTGCGAGTCTTCGAGTGGATGAAACTCCAACAGGACCAAACTCTCTCACAGGGCGACGCTGTCGTCCAAACGTGGATCCTCATGGCAAAGTATGCGGTGTGTGGAAACCTGCGCGACTTCGACTCTCAAAAACTGGATGGGTGGTTATAGCTCCTAATCGCTTTATCCATCGTAGCATTGTCGAAAGGCCTCTCCCTGGCATGAAACTTATCGATCGAGGTGAGCACCTCGATGTGCTGCGGAGATCCCTCGGGGTAGCCAAACTGAACCAAAGCGGCAATCAACCCCTGCTGCAGCACATCGTCATCCGACAGTGTGGCATCCCGAAACTCAGGATCCAGCATCATGGCCGCTATGTGCACTGGAGTACGGAACATGGTGCGCCGCCTGTTGAATACCTCAAGGATCTCATCCTGCTCTGTCGTGGTGAGGGAGTCGCACGCGGTAAAACAGGATGCGATCATAATCTCATACCGACGCAGTACCGTGCTGATCTGTCGTGTGTCACTGTCCAACATCTGCAGCATCTCCATCACCGGGTCCATGATCTTACACAATCGCCTCAAATCCTCCCACCATGGAGGAGACCTCGCACATGCCATGATCTCGGTGGCATCCTGGCCGACCTTCCGCGTGGCCCAAACAATGTCACGCCACGGGTCTTCGGTAACGACGTGCATGATCTGCAGATCCAACAATCTCCTGATCATGATGACGTTGGTGCCGAAACGAGTCTCTGCGGGCAGCAACAACTTCAGCTTCGTCTTCTTCTCCAAAGCCTCGCGTGCGTGACTGTGGCGTTTGATAACTTTGTGACGAGCCGCGCCTGAGCAATGCGTGATGCCACCCATCCAATCGACCCAATGTCCTCCAAGATGAGGTCCATAACATATGTCACACACGGAATCCAGAAAATATGTTTGACGCTTTCGTCCTCTTGGAATATCTGCATGGCGGACACGTTCACACCCTCAGAATCCGTGATAAACGCTGGGATGTCGCTGAGTTGGATATCGAGGGTCTTTAGCCTGTGCAACCATGCCTTTGGCAATGCTGGCCCGTCCTTCTTCCCCCGCATAACATCAGTGGCAAGATACGCGGGTCCCCGCTCTATACCGACAAGGTAGTTGCACAATGTCTGACTACGGATGTTTGTCCAGCCATTCGTCATAATAGTGCAACCACTCTGACGCGCGGTATCGAGCACTGGTCTCACACACCGCTGCACCTCTGCATCCAGCTCGTCCAACAACGTCGTGCGAACCATGTGATAAGTCGGAAGTTTAGGCACGGGAGCCCCGGGGACCCCAGGAGGGATGATGACTGTGAACATCCGTCTGAAGCTCCCAAGCTTCATGCAGTTAAATGGCATGCCACGCTCTACGATGAACCGCATGATCGTCATGTGCCATGCACGCTCTCTAGGGTCAGAATAATACGAGGTGACCGCCTGCTGCTTGTATGTGCCCTTCCTCGTGCGACTGTAGCAGAAACACTCATGTAAAACAAACCAGCTGGACTCGCCGGTGTAGTGGCTTGTGGAAGTGGAATGTTGTGTAGCCGCTCCATAGGACCCAAATCCCCCGCGAGCACACCCGTGAATGTGGAGGCAGTCTCGGCAGCAGGCATGGGCGAAGAATCAGACAGTGCAATCGGTGGGGGTGGACCCACGTCCTCTGCCGCTTGAGTCGATGGTGGATGTGTGTGAGCCGCAATCCCCTGCACGTCCTGTTGCAGTGGTGGATACGACTGAGTCCCTCCCGAAGGGGCAGCTCAACGCAGAGGACGAGGAGGAGACCACCACGACGTAGGTACCGCACCTGTGCGCTGTGGCGCTCGCGAGTCAGCCGCTGCGAAAGATGGAGCTGAACGTGGAGGTCGAGGTGAGACTACCGGGCCGTGGCTGCCGCGGTTGTGCCTCGGTCACCCGCAAGAGGAACTCCCACTGCAGTCGATGCTCTGGCCGCGGTAGTCGTGAACATAGGATGCAATCCAACCGAAGTACTTCGGTTTTTGCCCTATGTGCTGCCATCGACGAACTAACGTGTGTCGAGTTCATCAAATACGCCAACAGGCGCCGACGGAGAGACACGGTGACCCTCGAGCGACGCAGGTGGCGGTCTTGTTGCCTCTGCCGACGACACCACTGTCCCTCCAAGTGCKGGCGGTGGGACTGCACCGGCCGACGATCCTCCCGCCACAGGTGTCAAAACCGGTGCGCCGACCACACCGCGAAACGGCCCTACCTCACTAGCAAGCGACCAGCGAGGCTCCGAGTCCTCTGGGAATAAAAGTGTCAGCCACTGGAATGCCGGAGCGCCAGGAGGGAGCCTCTTCAACTCCTCAATCGAGGCAACGAACTCCTTCGGACACCATGTTCTTCGCCCATATGGTACAATACACAGCAGGGGTCCCCGCCGGGCATCTGAACTCCTTGCTTTTGAAGAAATGTTCCTTCGCTTCGGGGGCCACCTGCTCCTTGCCAATGTTTCGCATCATGATGTCACAACCACAGAGTGTGACAGCAAAGAGTCACTTGTATCACGATAGACAGCAGTGGCTTCGAATAAATGAATCGATGATGAAGCACTAGAACTGTTTGACAAGGACAAAGCACAAAATGACAACGGCAAAACAAGAACAAAGCACAAAATGACAATAACCCTTTCTTGAAAAAAAAAATAAAAAAAAATTAAAAAGCCTTTTTTTTTTTTTTTTTTTTTTTTTATGTTGGGTCTGCCCAACTTTGCAGTTTCCCTTTTTTACACCCCTTAGGGCCCTTAGGTGCCTTACCAACCCACCCATACATCACCCCTTCCCCACCAAGCCCGAAAAACCTTGAAGCCCTTTGTATTTTTTTTTTTTTGTGGGATGGCGGGCTTACCGTCTTCCGCCTTTGCACCCGTTAGGGCGTAGGGCCGTTGGCCCCTTATTACCCCACGGTCCCGACCCATACAGCACCCCCCCCCCCCCCCAAACCCACGATGAACCTATAAAAATTTAGGAACCAAGTTTTTTTTTTTTTTCCCTATGGAAGTTGGGTTTGCCCAACTTCCATGTTTCTCACTTTTGCACCCCTTAGGGCCCTTGGCCCCTTCTTACCGAACCGTATGTTTTTTTTTTTTTTTTTTTAAAGTTGGGTTTGCCCAACTTCGCTGTTTCCTGCATTTACACCCCTTAGGGCCCTTAGGGGCGTTACTAACCCACCCATATTGTCGTTTGTTGTGTTTTTTTTTTTGGGGAGAAGCACGGTTTACCGTTTCCCGCTTTGGCACCCCTAAGGCCTCTTGGCCCCTCGTTACCCCACCCCCTAAAGGCCCAAACCCACAAAACCTCTAAGAATTTAGGAAGCCTTTGTTTTTTTGTTTTTTTTTTTGATGTTGGGTCTGCCCAACTTTGCAGTTTCCCGCTTTTACACCCCTTAGGGCCCTTAGGTGCTTTACCAACCCATCCATACATCACCCCTTCCCCACCAAGCCCAAAAAAACTTGAAGCCGTTTGTTTTTGTATTTTTGTTTTTCGGATGGCGGGTTTTTACCGTCTCCGCTTTTGCACCCGCTAGGGCGTAGGGTCGTTGGGCCCTTATTACCCCACCCATACAGAACCCCTCCCCCCCCCCAAACCCACGATGAACCTATAAAAATTCAGGAAACTTGTTTGTTTGTTTTTTTCTATGGAAGCTCCCACTTTTGCACCCCTTAGATCCCTTGGCGCCTTGTTACCGAACCGTATGTTTTTTTTTTTTTTTTTTTTAAGTTGGGTTTGCCCAACTTTGCAGTTTCCTGCATTTACATCCCTTAGGGCCCTTAGGGGCGCTACTAACCCACCCGTATTATCGTTTGTTGTGGTTTTTTTTTTTTGGGAAGCACGGTTTACCATCTCCCGCTTTGGCACCCTTAAGGCCTTTTGGCCCCTCATTACCCCACCCTCTAAGGGCCCAAACCCACAAAACCTCTAAGAATTTAGGAAGCCTTTGTTTTTGTTTTTGTTTTTTTGGATATTGGGTTTCCCAACTTTGCAGTTTCCCGCTTTCACACCCCTTAGGGTCCTTAGGTGACTTACCAACCGACCCATACATCACCCCTTCCCCACGAAGCCCTAAAAACCTTGAAGCCCTTTTTTTTTTTTTTTTTTTTTTGGCATGGCAGGTTTGCCG